TAAAATAATTTAGAAAAATTTAAAACATTTGTAATCTATTTTTTTAAAATTTCATTCATACTTATTTGCTAAAGACTAATAATATGCTTTAAAATCTAATGCATACTTATTCGCTAAAGATTGATAATATGTTTTTAAACTAAAATAATAATAATAATAAAGAAGTTATACAAAATTAAAATTAAAGATAAAAGTTTATCAAACTCCATTTCTAACGGAGAATTAAGATTTAAGAATTAAGAATAAACGTAACAAATTTAAACTTATCTAAATTTAAAATTCATATAACATATTATTTAAAATTCATATAACATATTATGTCCTCCTTTCACAGATAATAAATTATTATCGAAAAAAGTAGCACAAAAGTCGCCTGGAGGCCCTTTTATTGGAATAGGTTTGACCCGGTGAGTTTTGATATTGTAAAAAATCAATTGTCCTTCTTTGGTCTGCATTAAAAGTTCATCCGAACTCACGACCAACAATGACTTCTCAATTTCAAATGTAGGACAAATTGTCAATAGCTTTGACCATGAAAGAACATCATGTTCATCCTTCTTCATCTCCCAAATGTACAAGTCTTTTCCATTCTCTGTTATTCGACGGTGAAATATAACAATGTTTCCATTCAAAATCCCAATAGTTATACAAGTGTCATGCTCATTCGCTACACAGTCCGGTACTGAAATTTCGTCAAAGACTTCTTCGCTCATGTTGAACGTTTGTATAATATTACTTCCTCTTATTTTTCGTGACCACCAATAATATGTTCCTTCATGATACATATCAAAAGAAGATATCGACATTACACGCAGGGGATTCAATTTCTCTCCATCTATCTTTCCTCAGATCATAAATTTCCACTCTAGTTGGACCAGTTTCATCATATATGTGCACAAATTCTACGACCCTAACCACTTTGAAATCCCTAGATTTGGAATCGTAACCGAATCCAACAGCATTTGAGCCCGAATAATTAAATTCACAGACAGATTCAGTAGAGTGAAGAATCGATGGAGGGAGTTTACGAAACTCTTTGGTCGTCAGATTAAAGAGGAAAACATCTTTATGGAGTGATAGACAAACCAAGCCATGAGAATGACCACAAATCTTCGAAAATGGAGTATCTTTACCAGATAGAAAGTCGAAATCAATAATAGATATAGATCGATCGAGGTCATGAGAAAACTTGAGGATGGAGTATATATGTTTACATGATCTAAAATCTCGAATGATGTGCTTGAGAAGAATAGACTTATGTTGAAGAGAACAATTTGTAGGATCGTTGATCAGAGCGTACCAGGATTTGCAAACTAACTTGAATGAGGATAAAGTCTTTAGCGGAAGCCTCGATAGAATCATGATTAACAATTCGGTAGGGAGATTTTTTAGAGTTTCCATTAAAGACGTTGGAAACGAATTTAAAATAATGTGTATTTTTAGAAATAAACTAAGATACGAAGAAAATGGTGAAACCATGAGGTCTTGATGTATTATATATATATATTTATTAACCATATTGGCACCAAAATAATTTCCCTATCAAATCTATTTTTAACATATGGTTAGTGTAACAACTGTAAGAACAAAAAAAAAAAAAAAAAAAAAAAAAAAAAAAAAAAAAAAAAAAAAAAAAAAAAAAAAAAAAAAAAAAAA